ATATCACCAAACACGGTTACAGCAAGGGAGTAGTAATCGTTGTATTGCATGCAATTTTAATTTCCTACAAAATCATAGGGAACTACGCTGTGTGTTTTTAAAATAATAGGTCATCAAACATCACATTGTTTCTTGATATGATTAAATATCGAGGTAAAAAAATACAGAAATAGGATCAAATTGGATCGGTCATATACGATCAACGCATCGGAAAATCTGAAAAAAGCTTACACTGCTGTAGTACTTTATTACAGGAAATACATCCACCATTCTTATTGTTTCATTGTTAAGGCTGAAGAAATTCTGCCAAAGGTGGACAGCTGCCCAGTCCCTGGGTCCGTCACGGTCGAGGTAGCAGGTGCTGCCCACCTGGCAGTCAGACCACGTACTAAAATTGTTGTCCCGAAACCGGAAGCGCTTGATTTGGAATGAATGAGGCCCCACGAGATGTGACGGACATTGTAAAAACAAACAATTTACATAAACACATATTGCAGTTATCAGTGTTTTTCTAAACTTGTGAAGGGTGAGCAGACTATTGGCATGTTTACAATAGAATTGAAAAAAATATAATTGAGTACGTCTTTGTTTGAAATGCCGCCATCTTTGTTCAAACGTACACGCGCGAGATTGGAAAAAACTTCGTTGTTGTTTTGAAGTAAGTCTATGAGAGTAAGGTAGTGGAAATGGCAGTCTGTATAGTTGCTATAGTTTTCTTGACACATGGCAACATACTTGACAATCGAAGCTTTGGAAACAAGGATCCGGGAACTTGAGCGATCTCAACGGAAACCCAGGACAGAGAAATTAGCAGTACCCCGCCCTTGTCAGGTAGGTTTCAGATGAAATGCATTATGTTCTTCTTATCATAGCAGTCAGTTTGCATCGAATTAAACGTTTTCGGTAGGAACCTTTATCTTAAAGTAACGGTGCGCTCGCATTTCGATTTCTCTCACGGTTATTTATGTGGACATTGCATTTTAGTGTGAAATCTGTAAAAACCAACAATATTGTTGATACCAGCTGAACATTCCGTTAAAATATAACCATAAGACAAGTATATATATGTGTTCCTGTACGTTGAGTCTGATATTTCTATAACTTGATATTCTGCGGCAGCCCATTTTGTTGCTGGGCACAACCAACACCATAACCAAATATCTATTGTTCAGTCATTTTTCTGAGTGTAATTTTGTCTCAGTATATTTCTTTTCTTGTCGGACTTTATGTAATGTATTCAATTATGTATCCAGCTATATTGGAACCGTGTGCTGGAGCGGCGTTTATATAAGCCACTTGGCTTGTTCGCCTTTTCAGGTTATTGACGGAATAAAAATATTTGAAAAAATTGTTATATGCAGCAAGGCAACAGATATAGATGAAACAAGTAGTTTATGATATTTCGCAGGAAAATATTGCCAATCGACAGATGTTCATACTCCAAATGTGTGTCTCTTTTTTCGGCTATTGTGAGAAGAAACATGGAAAAGTTCGTGGAGTCCCTTGAAAATCCATTAAAAGTTACTTATTTATAAGGTAAAATAACTTACCCCAAGTTTTATTATTGCTCGGCATCATAATCAATTTATATGTTTTATAACATTAGAGACGTCATTAATGCTAACTAAAATTAATATTGCCATCAACTCGTTTCTTGTTCACAAATTGGGTAAATCTAGCATTAGTAGAATGTCGATCATGTTAATAGAAAACTTCTCACACCCTCGCAGTAATGCATATACCACAATTACTTATTACTTGGTTTGATACATGGTGAATATGATAATAATCAAAATAATGAATGTTTGTCGGATTGTAATAATCTATTATTGGACGAATGAAAATTAACTCATTTGCTTTTCTTAATAGAAACCTTCTGGATAATCTGGAGGAGCAAGATGGACGATCGACGTCGGCAGATTCGAGGAAAGGAAGAAAAACACAGGAAAGATGCTAAAAGAAACAAAAGAATCCGATCTGTAAGTTCCTGAAACTGGATTATATAATATCATTTGTACCGGTTTATAGACCTCCTGACACCAGTTAAAACATCCTGAGTCACTTAACTGACATGATGTGCTTCATATTATCACATCGCTATATACCTGTAATAGAATAACTTTCCTTCTCTCATGTCATTACCCATCACCGTAATGTGCCATTATCTAATTAGAACAAGTGCGGCTCTCAAGAATAAATGTTGGACATAACTTTCGCAATGCAAGAATTTCATTTTTCCTCCCAGAAACGCCAACAGCGCCTGAAGAATCTAGCTACTATTAACTGGACAGAGAAAGAACACAGAAGGTGGCTGCAGTCCTAACCCCAGAATTGACATCGCCAGTGCTGTCTGGCGCTCCAGAGGCAAACATGAAGAACTTGCGACACCATCCAACAATATGCTTTCCAACCACCTAAAGGTCTTCCACCCTGGTCATTGAGAATATGATCCATGTTAGTTAGGGATAGGATGGAATGTACATTCAATTATCTCCTGTATTCACCCTGTTTAGGAAAAAACAACTAAATTTGTTGTTTCTGAGACTAAGATTAAAATATTTATTCTCTCTCTCTCTCTCTCTCTCTCTCTCTCTCTCTTCTGTCTGTTTTTTTCTCACTCACAAGTGGTTTGTGTGTTTTTTTAGTGTGCATTCCTCTCTGAATAAGGAGAATCAACTGACGGGGTTTTGTGATTTGTGACAATGTTTAATTGTAACATTGAAACAAAGACATGATATGTTTATGATAAATAAAGAGAAATCGACTGACTTACTGATTTTGTATTTATTTAAATCTATGTCCATGTGGTGTTGAGGTAACTGTAGTTGAAATGAGTTTATTTTATATTTGAAAGTATTATGAATAAAATATATGACATAATACATTCAAATATATAATACACTCACTTCAACTACAGTTAATATAGTTGAATAATCATAATTTAATATGGACATATGGTAATCACTGAATACTAATAATTGAAACCAAATGGAGCCATACAGATTCTGATTTACTGACACTTATGGAACATGGTTAATGTGATTAATAGAAAGGAAAATCAAAGGAAAACATAACTGAACTAAGTAAATAAATGAAACCATCTGAAAGTAGAGGATACGGGAAACCCAATGGAACCTCATAGGAATCTGCGTAACGGAAACTCATTGGAGCCACAACAGGAATCTGGGTAACGGAAACGCACTGGAACCATACGGGAATCTGGGTAACGGAAACGCACTGGAGCCCTACAGGAAACTGGGTAACGGAAACGCACTGGAGCCTTACTGGAAACTGGGTAACGGAAACGCACTGGAGCCTTACTGGAAACTGGGTAACGGAAACGCACTGGAGCCATACTGGAAACTGGGTAACGGATACGCACTGGAGCCATACTGGAAACTGGGTAACGGAAACGCACTGGAGCCATACTGGAATCTGGGTAACGGAAACGCACTGGAGCTATACTGGAAACTGGGTAACGGATACGCACTGGAGCCATACTGGAAACTGGGTAACGGAAACGCACTGGAGCCATACTGGAAACTGGGTAATTTGTAAGTTTCCGCTTTCCGGAAACTTGAAGGAAATGTGGAGAAACAGTCCGGATACCTAATTGAAACTTAAAGGTCACATGCAACGTAAAACACAACTTTGCAGATTCTGATACCTTTCGGTATGGACTTACCGAAACAAAGCATCAAAAATGCAAATTCAACTTATAAAGTTGAAAAATAACGCGATGAAAAAAAACGCGCGAAATCGGAGTTCAAACGTTTCACTAATTTTCCCTAGACTTTTCTGGGGAATACGGGTTTCAACAGCAGGGCTGCGCTCATAGCGAGTGCGCAGTGAAATAGGTTCGCGCAACTTGGAAGCGGGCTGACTGGTGAATACTCGGTGAAGGCTTTGGTGTGAGCTATTTTCATAATGTTTTGTTGATATCTCACAGGCGCGAGCTTTTTATATGTAATGACAGTAAATAAACTGTTTATATAATTTCATTTGTCTATTTCACCACACGTTCTTCTTACCGAGTCACTTTCTCAGTTCGATACTTAAAAGAAATGTCATTATTTAGCGTTGACACAATTTCTAACTGTGATATAGATATGACGCTGCCACAGACAAAACTCAATGTCTTGTTTTATTGACACCTGTGTGTCTGCCTGCCTGTCTGCTAATGACAATATTCAATACACAACTGCGATCACTGACCACATGCAATTTGAACTTAACACCAATCAGGCTATACACCATAAACAAAACGCATTGTTTTATGGCCCGAGTTCGGTCTCTGTCACATTACGTAATTACACAGACAGGCAGGTGTTATGATGTCTGTTGATTGCAAAATGTTATACACAAAAAATGAGCATGTATTTACAAAACCCAACATCTCTATATATACACACACAATGAAACCGTGAAGGCGGCATCTGCAAATGAACCAGCCGTTACACTTGAGTGCACACACACCCGCTCTGACTGGGTTCGGTATCCCGGCTGCTTCGTTTCGAGGGAGGTAAACCCAAGTACAAAATATTGCACTTTTGATTTGCGATTATACGCTTATAATTTTGTTTATTTGTTTTTTCATAATCAGCAATGCATATTATATGTCATGAATAAGTGATAATTGTGTTTTAATTATGTTTGATTTTTTGGTTGCATGTGACCTTTAAGTTATTTTAGCTGTGAGTGGTTGAAGCATTCGCTAGTCACGCCGAAGACCCGGGTTCGTTTCCCCACATGGGTACAATGTGTGAAGCCCATTTCTGGTGTCCCCGCCCTGATATTGCTGGAATACTGCTTAAACCATACTCACTACATAACTTAAAACACAGAAGAAACATATTAATCACCGTTACATTAGAATTATTAAGCAGGTCTAACACACAATACACAGGATACAGGGGTGTATGAGACAGGTGTTGAGTCAGTAATTCCACGGACTGTCGATGATGCGTCTTGATGACAACACTACATATCTTACGTTTCAGAGCAACCCGCGAGGCCACGGAGACCGTCACCATCAAGGGTTACACATTCCCCAAGGGCTGTGCAGTCGTCGTCTCTGCTTTGGGGATACACAGGGATCCTGACATATACCCTGACCCCCACAGCTTTAAGCCTGACAGGTAGGCACCATCACACACACCACACACACAATATACCCTGACACCACAGCTTTAAGCCTGACAGAAGGTACCATCACACTCACACCACACAATATACCTTGACGCTCACAGCTTTAAGCCTGACAGGTAGGTACCATCACACTCACCCACACAATATACCTTGACCCTCACAGCTTTAAGCCTGACAGGTAGGTACCATCACACTCACCCACACACACAATATACCTTAACCCTCACAGCTTTAAGCCTGGCAGGTGGGTACCATCACACTCACCCCACACAATATACCTTAACCCCCACAGCTTTAAGCCTGGCAGGCAGGTACCATCACACTCACCCCACACAATATACCTTGACCCCCACAGCTTTAAGCCTGGCAGGCAGGTACCATCACACAGACACAATATGTTATGTCAAATGAAAAGTAGATGTCGTAAATCTACAGTGTACCAGTAACAATGATGATTCATCACTATGAACTTTAGTGGCTTTGAGCCTGACAGGTAGATACCATATATCACACACACACACACACACACACACACACACACACACACACACACACACACACACACACACACACACACACACACACACACACACACACACACACACACACACACACACACACACACACACACACACACACACACACACACACACACACACACACACACACACACACACACACACACACACCATGCCAAATATAAGACAGGCATATTTCCCTTGAAGTTGCAGACTTGCATGACCTCCACACACCTCTAATAAAAACTTCATTCAATGAACCTTCTCTGGTAAGAGTTTAGCTGATGGTGCGATATTGTTCAATGTAGATGGGACCGGAAGTCTGAAATGGATCCCATGAATTATCTCCCCTTCGGTCATGGTCCACGTCAGTGTTTGGGAATGAGGCTTGCACAGATGGAGATGAAGATGGCCCTGGCCCGAATTCTCAGACAGATTCAATTTGTGCCGGCACATGACACATTGGTGAGCAAAAACGATATGGGCGACTAACCCTAATCTTAAGACCTTGACCATAAACTGTTTGACTTTTCTGACAAAACAGCGTGAGTATAAGTGTGCATTTGTAAAATACCTAACTATACTCATTTATGTTAGACACAGGTCTCCACTAGCAATCTGCCGTTTTTGTTAGTGTTGGTGGGTTAACTCAGCAATAGTCCAGCTGTATGACCTTAGTTTGTCAATTATCGTGTGTAGACCAGACATGGAATGATTGACCTCGTGGAGAGGCATCTATCATCGCAAATGGGACATGTTAAGGTGTGAAGTTTCGCTGTCAAAACTGGGATAACTAGCTGTACCAATTAAGGGTAATTATCAGTCTAAGTAAACTTAGGCTCAGTATTATTCGTTACAATGCTATACTGAGTCTAACAAAACCTTGTGGAAGTTCGCGTCAGATAACCTTTGAGCGACCTATGACCGTCCAGCCAAACGCAAGACGACAGAACGGATTTAGCCAATCAGACAACGGCTACTATTTACGGTTCGGCGGGACTTACAAAATGGATTTACTCTTCCCCTGTCGCCAACACTGATCTCACAACAAATGAAAACCCGCATAAAAAACAGATATGTGACCCGCTTTTGGTATCTGTTGACATGATTATCATTAGCTAATATTTTCGCAAGCTGACATCCTTGAATACTGACAAAACGCTATTTTCAGCGAGTGTTTATTCACGACTGTAGCGTGCTCCATGTGCATCACTCGGAAGCGATCGTACGGAAAATAGCATTCGGAATCGTTCGGGTAAAAAACCTTTTCGAGGTAAAGGTTCAAAAGGTATGTGCGAATGTCAACTTTCGCGATTTGGTAAGCTGTGTTCTGATTGGTCAGTTGAAAAGGTTACCTGACGTGACCTTCTACTAGGGGTTGTTAGACTCAGTATAGCAGTGTAACGAATAATACTGAGCCTAAATTTACTTGACTGGGGTAATTATGTGAATGCAAACAACCGAGAGAAGTACAGAAATATAGCTCTATTGGTTCCTATATCCATACCAGTAGTATGAAAAAGGAACGGGCACGAGAAGAGCTGACAATGATTTACCAGGAAGAAAGGAGCAAGAGTTTGGATGGGTATGAAAAAGCAACACCTCAAGAGATTGCAGCCCGACTTCAGATATATGAGAGTATCAAAGTGATACTGTTTCAATGGATGGTACTTTTTGTCCCAAAATAGTTTATCAAGTATATATCATCTACTCTCATGATAGGTTACATGGTACTTTGCTTGAGCTGTTCTGTCTCCTTCCGGATAAGACCAGTGCCACGTCCGGTAAACTCACTGTCACAATTAGGACAACTGGCTAGATCAATTACAGAAGTGTGAAATTTCACTGTCAAAATTGGGACTGTCAAAATCGGGACTAAACCATGTACATGCATGAACCAATTCATCGACTCTGACCACCTTATCCCGTAAGCTACCTCTTTACCACAAGCATGGGTTTATATAGACCAAATCTCACCAGTATTATACGGGTGGGTAGTCTACTGAATGTAGGAAAAGGCAAATTCATGGTTCAAAACACAACAGAAAATAGCTGCTGCATCACGAAAACATCTAACTGAACTCGAAGTCTAAAGTCCTCGCATTGGTTACAGCTCAAACCCAGACCTGGTTTTATCATTTGACAATTTCTCCTGATTTCTCTCTCAGATGGCACCTAATCGTCTATACTGTTGCCAGATCCAGCAAGGCCCATTTTGTACTCAAACCAGAAACCTCCCCAAGCTTCCAGAATTTCTACTGAGATTTGTACGCGTCGGCATTGTAGAATCAGCAACCACAGGCTGTATTGATCAACAATCAATGATTGTTGTTGGTGTTGACAACATACGATGATGATGATGATGATGATGATTGATGATGATTGTGATGGTGATGATTATCATTGTGATTTTCTGTCTATTAGGCATCTATCAGAGAAGAGGACGTCGATGTATATACAGGAATATTCAACACCAAGAAGCCTATCATGCTCAGGGTCCAAGTCCGTTCAGACGAGTAAGATGGCAAAGACCCAGTGTTCTCAGAGTCTGACAGCGCCGACATCCGCATCATCCAGTGTATTACCTCCCTTGTGTTACATTAAAACCAGGGACCATTTCACCAACGTGGCTTCGTTTTTTAGTGCCAAGCTAAATGGCTGCCCAATTAAATGACATTTTTTTTAATTCATTGAAACAAGACGCGATATCACTGGTTTGAATCTCATGCGTCCGACCATCTTTTATATATGCTAACAGCTGGTTGCAAGCAACTTAATTCCTTCTAGCCGTCTAAATATTGAATAAAACAGTTTTTTGCCAATTCATTTACAACAGCGTTCGGTGTGGGTTAAATGCACTGAAGAGCATGTGTAAGCCCGAATATAGATCTTTGCCAAACTTTGTTAAGAAGAGTGACTTTCATTACGCTCATGAGCGAGAGACATTCTATGCTAGGCTGGTGGTAAATACATGGTACTGGAGACGTTACTCAAAAGTTGTTGTCTCACTTTTTTTTATATTTCCGTAGATATTTTGTCATCCGTTTATAATACCTAACAGAGAGAATGTATTCCGTTGGGGATTAACAACCCTTGTCTTAACTTGTACACGCGATGTTTTAATCCACGTTCAATATCTAGCACATGTGTATCAGTAAGGCACTGAGTGTTGTATCTGTCTGTGTCTCAAAAGTAGGCCTATACTTGAGAAATGATAATGATACGTCAAATTCGGTTTGGTAACATGGATTGTATATATTTCAATTATTTTCTAAATTTAGAGTTTTTTCTCAATTACTTCGATTATATTATATTTAGTTTATAGTTTTCTAAATATATTTAAATTACCTTTTCTCGTTATTTCAAGTAATTTCTCGAAATTTTGAGTTTGTTTTCAATACTTTGATTTAGCTTTTCAGATTGCGCAGGATTTTGATGATGACTTACGACATGAGACTAGAAGTGTATATTCTTTGTTTTAATAAAAAATATATAAATATTAACAAACTTCCCAATTTTTCTTGTCCCATGTGGCCAGTGCAACTGCGTCGCGTTCGTGGAGTTTAAAGATGCACCTAATAAAAGCACACGTGTTCCCATTCCTGGAAGTATGGAATAATTCTGTAACTGTAACATTTGTAACTGTTTCTCGTCTCCAACTTAACCAGCGTGAGTTTAGTTTTACGCCGCTTTTAGCAATATCACGGCGGGGAAACCTGAAATGGGCTTTTTACATTGCACCCATGAAGGGAATCGAACTCGGGTCTTCGGTGTGACGAACGAACGCTTTAACCACTAGGCTACCCCACCGCCCTCAAACAGCAAGAAAACGGACAGACGAACAGAATGATGAAAATAAAACTAAGTTTTCACTAATTGTGTGATTTATTTCATGAAATTGTTAACTTTCGATCACTTGATGAAAGTCTTTCAGACAATTCAGTTGAGTCGCTTTGCTTGGGAAACAATATTTTAATAAAATTAGTTTTAATTTTAATGTAGATGAAGAAAAATCAGGTTGGCCTGGAGTGGGCATTTCATGCACACAAGAAAGTGCTATATATACTAGGCACATAAAGAAACTGTGCATACAAAAATTTAAAATCTAAATTTATCAAACCTGTGTAGACACATAAGGATTTAAACTCAGAGATTAGTGACATGTATCCAACATGCATGCACGTGCCACGTTCCGTGACGTCAGTGGGTTCGTCCTTGAGACGTGCAATACGTTGTTGCAAATGCATTCCGGGAAAGAGAAACAGAGCAAATGAATGCCACACAATACTGTCTCTTTGGAAAGCTCAGCCCCTGCCCTTGCGATCGTTCAAAAAATTAAACGGCTATTGAAACGCATAGCATGCCAAGGCTCACGTCTGCACAACGTCATGTGGCCATTGGGATGGTCCGTGGGGCAATGTCTCAACGACAAGTGGCTGCACATTTCCACTGCCACCGGAACACCATTTCTGCACTGGTGAGACGCTACCAGAACACAAATGACGTCATCGATCGGCCACGTTCTGGACGTCCACGTGTATTAACGCCAAGACAGGACATATGGATAAGGGTGACCCATCTTCGCCACAGGTTTCAGACTGCAGTGATGACTGCCCGAACCATCCCAGGACTTCGCCGTATCCACCCCAACACAGTTCGACAACGTTTACGTCATCACGGAATCAGTCCACGACGTCCCGCCATACGGCCTATCCTGACACAACGTCATCGACAAGCTCGCCGAATGTGCTGCCGAAATCATGTCTGCAGACTCTTGTTTTGGTGGAGAAATGTTGTTTTTACAGATGAGTCCAGGTTTAACATTTCCCGTAGTGAGGACGTCAACGTGCCTATAGACGCGTGGGAGAACGTTATGCACAGGCCTGTGTCTTGGAGAGGAATCGCTTTGGTGGTGGTTCCGTGATGATTTGGGGTGGAATAACAGCACGCCAAAGAACTCCTTTGGTGATTGTTCAGGGCAACTTAACTGGTGTGGGCTACAGGGATCAGATTCTTCGACCTGTGGCAATTCCTTTTCTGCAACGTCATGGCCCTGGGTTAACATTCCAACAGGACAATGCCCGCCCTCATACGGCAAGGGTTGCTATGGATTTCTTGCAACACCACAACGTTGACTTACTGCCTGGGCCTGCAAAGTCACCGGATCTCTCCCCGATAGAGCATGTTTGGGACGAGATGGATCGACGTCTACGCCGTCTTCCTCATCCGCCAGATAACGTCCTTGACCTTGCAACAGAACTTGAGAGAATCTGGCGTGACATCCCACAAGCCTTCCTTGCACGTTTGATAGGCTCTATGCGTCGTCGATGCACTGCTGTTCTCAATGCCGATGGTGGACATACCCGTTATTGAGCTTGTGACATGGTCGTTCGACCCCTGTCCCGCTTGTGGACTCGTGACGTCATTGTGATTGACTTTTCAATTGAAATTCTCCCGACTTGTTATGGTCTCATGATCCCTCCATTAAAGTTTATATGTACCTTTGACATTGTTATCGTACTTATCACCTGGGATAATATTTTGACAATGCACAGTTTCTTTATGTGGCTAGTATATGAAAGACAGTCGGACAGATAGACAGACAGTTTATTTACATGTGGCCAAAAGGCCAATAATACACAGCAAAGTGCAACAGCATGTTAGGCACTGACAGTCTTTTTGTATATATGGCTAAAGTCAAGTAGTAAAGAGAAAAGTGTGACATGGAAGGCACTGAAAGACAATTTTATTCGCATATGTTCCCAAAAGGCCTATAGGACATCACGTATACAACACCATCGCACTGTACAATCACATCGCAGATTCATCAACAATAAGAAAAGGAGTCGGTTGGTTTGTTTTGATAAATGACAAGAGCTTTGTTCAACAACCTGACTTCAAACATCTGGTCTGAAGGGAGTCCGTACTTTCTATTTCACAAGTGATCGGTGTCAGCTGCAAGATTAAGAATTTTACATAATGCAGGAAAGAGTACCCTCGTTATTTTATGAGCAATGAAATACTTTTGTCAAAACGAAAGATACTATGATTCGAAAGAGCTCCAAACCAGTTTTGAGGGGAACATTTCTTTGAGAGGCATTAAGAAGATGGAGCAGTAAGGAAGGATAACAAGATATGGATGAACAACTTCTTTCTTACAATAAAGAAGTTGTTCGTCCATATATCGTTCTCCTTCCTTGAGTGGAAAATGTTCAAACATCTACCATTGAAAAAGCTGGGACTGAATATTCTTAAAATTAAAAAACACCATATATATGTAAAAACCTTTGGTTGGTGTTTCTGATAATCAAATCAATGGAGAAATCAAAATACTAGCAGATGGTATCGAAATTCACATACCACTATTGTTTACGAGGGGGGACCACTTGCTGGTAGATCAGCCATGTACTCTACACGCGTGTGCAGTGAAATTTCAATTTCAAACGTGCAACTCGCACACCTGGCTGTTCTACCAGAAAGCGGTCCACCCTCGTAAAAAATAGCGAAAAATGACAACAAAATAATTATCGTTTGTTAAACAACTTTTTATTCGGGTGTCAAAAATTATGACACAAATCATCAGAGTTGGTCCGTCGATTTCATATGACTGTACAAAATTTGGTTTTGTTGCAATCAGTAAATTTTGTGTCAGGGTGCAATTCATCGGTCTCAAATGAAATCAAAGGGACTGTGTTAGGCTCTACAACACTTAACTCTTCTCTTAAAGATACATGTGTGTTTACTGCTAACCAGGGAACTGTTTTGAAGACTGTTATTCCTCATTTTCAATGGACACCTGAACAGACTGACAGGAATAATTTTTCATGTCTACAACATCTGCCAACATTTGAAGAAAGCTCACATACCAATCCAATCCAATCCTCAGACAGTCATATCTTTGTACTCTTGATTCGCCACATCTAAAGACTTGATTGAGCTTAAATATTCAATGCAGTTGCCAAGGTCATAAGCGTTACGCCGTTTTAGCAATATTCCATCAGCATCACGGCACCGGAACATGGGATTTACATATAGAGAATCGAACACGGGTCTTCGGCGTGAGGAGCGAACCTTTTACCCACTAAGCCCTAAGTTGAGTAAAAAAAAAGAACAATGACATCTATCTATCTATCTATCTATCTTATGCTCTCTACCGGAATTCTTATAAAGAGGAGGTTGAATTCATACGTAATTTTGTTTCGACTTAACACACCAGCTAACTTGTGTGCACGTGAGTCGGTCAAGAAAAAACAATCTTGCTTAAAAATTACACACATCTCCCAAAACCGAATCGATTTCTTCTGTGAGCTGCTTTTGTACATCCGGTTCTTTGCCAGGGAGTAGGCAACAAAATGGAGGGTGTTGGCCCTTGTTTCGTATCCAGCAAAGAAGAATAACAAAGTCTGACCTATTATTTCGTCGTTGGTCATTTCTGGAAAGGATACAAATATTGCCTTAGCACAATAGCATACCCGGGTGTGTGTTTAACACAAGGCTCAAAATATGTTTTAGAGCTAATTTAGTGTGTAATTTTTAAGCAAGATTGTTTTTCTTGACCGACTCACGTGCACACAAGTTAGCTGGTGTGTTAAGTCGAAACAAAATTACATATGAATTCAACCTCC